GGAGGAGGAGGAGGAAGAGAGAGAGGGAACTCCAAGCAGGGTTTTTGGGCTCATTCCTGGTTCCTCGGCGCTCTTGTGGGCACGAAACCCCCTCAGCGTTGCAGCCCCCTGCCCCAGCTCGCCCCCTGCCCTCCCGAGCCTTTCCCAGCCCAACCGGTGCCGCTCCTGGCCCGGCGCCCCGGGGGAAATTCGGCGATTGATGCTCGGGCGGCAGAACCCGCGGCCGCAAGCGCGCTCGGAGTGCCGGTGATCACCGCGAGCTGCCATTCCCAGGAATTCCCGCTGCCAGCTGCGTTCTCCGGCGCTGGGAGCGCTCTGGCTTTGGGCAGCGAGCCCCAAACCGGGATTTGTCACCCCCAGCGCCTGGCAGGGAGCAGGAGGAGGAGGAGGAGGAGGAGGAAAAAGGCCGGAGATCCCGCACGAGGAGGGGCTGCAAAGGGGAGCTGCGGGGAGGAAAGAGCCCCGCGGGGCCGGGAAGGCGGCCGGAGATCCGGCCGGAGATCCAGCCCGAGCTCGGAGCCGCGGGAGAATTCTCATGGCCGGGAGAAGCCCCACAAACGCTTGGAATGCGGGAAGGGCTTGGAGCGGAGGGAACGCCAGGAAATCCCCACATTGTAGGAATATCAAAAGGTGAGAGATTTTAGAAAGTGCAAAACGGCCTCAGAAAGTAGAGACAAAGTTCAGAAAGGCTGGGAAATTTCTAAACCCTCTCAGGGGAAGCTAGGAAGTTAAAAACCAAATGAGTGCATTTATATTGATCATAAGGAACAAGAAAGAACAAGAACTTATTGGTAGTTCAGATGTGAGAAGTTCTAGATATCAGCTTTGCTAAGAGGGAAAGAGTTTCAATCTTAAATAAGGAATTATTGTGCCTTGTTTGAGGTTTCTAGAAGTCATTTTGTTAATGTTAAACCCACGTGGGTCCTTTTCTTGTTGCTCCGAGTACAATGATTTTACACCTTTCCTTTTGTGCTGTTGGCTCGAGGAACGTGTAGGAAAAGGCTGTGCCTGAGCTGCCGCCTTGTCTCTGACCTGGATTCGCACGGACGCTGTAATTTTCCCGTTTTTCCTGCTTTTTGCTCGCACGACACAGACAGATAACAAATCCTGGCCCTGCCCCGGTTCCCTTTGTGAGACACCGATCCGGCAGAAGCGGCGCCCGAGCGAGGGCGCGACGGGGCGCGCCTGGGAGGGGAACGGCCCCGGGAGCGCGGGGAGCGCGGGGAGAGCTCGGAGCGCTGCCCCAGCTCCGTCCCCGCGGGACGATCCGCGCCGCGGGAGCCCGGGGAGAGCTCGGAGCGCTGCCCCAGCTCCGTCCCCGCGGGAGGATCCGCGCCGCGGGAGCGCGGGGAGAGCTCGGAGCGCTGCCCCAGCTCCGTCCCCGCGGGAGGATCCGCGCCGCGGGAGCGCGGGGAGAGCTCGGAGCGCTGCCCCAGCTCCGTCCCCGCGGGAGGATCCGCGCCGCGGGAGCGCGGGGAGAGCTCGGAGCGCTGCCCCAGCTCCGTCCCCGCGGGAGGATCCGCGCCGCGGGAGCGCGGGGAGAGCTCGGAGCGCTGCCCCAGCTCCGTCCCCGCGGGAGGATCCGCGCCGCGGGAGCGCGGGGAGAGCTCGGAGCGCTGCCCCAGCTCCGTCCCCGCGGGAGGATCCGCGCCGCGGGAGCGCGGGGAGAGCTCGGAGCGCTGCCCCAGCTCCGTCCCCGCGGGAGGATCCGCGCCGCGGGAGCGCGGGGAGAGCTCGGAGCGCTGCCCCAGCTCCGTCCCCGCGGGAGGATCCGCGCCGCGGGAGCGCGGGGAGAGCTCGGAGCGCTGCCCCAGCTCCGTCCCCGCGGGAGGATCCGCGCCGCGGGAGCGCGGGGAGAGCTCGGAGCGCTGCCCCAGCTCCGTCCCCGCGGGAGGATCCGCGCCGCGGGAGCGCGGGGAGAGCTCGGAGCGCTGCCCCAGCTCCGTCCCCGCGGGAGGATCCGCGCCGCGGGAGCGCGGGGAGAGCTCGGAGCGCTGCCCCAGCTCCGTCCCCGCGGGAGGATCCGCGCCGCGGGAGCGCGGGGAGAGCTCGGAGCGCTGCCCCAGCTCCGTCCCCGCGGGAGGATCCGCGCCGCGGGAGCGCGGGGAGAGCTCGGAGCGCTGCCCCAGCTCCGTCCCCGCGGGAGGATCCGCGCCGCGGGAGCGCGGGGAGAGCTCGGAGCGCTGCCCCAGCTCCGTCCCCGCGGGAGGATCCGCGCCGCGGGAGCGCGGGGAGAGCTCGGAGCGCTGCCCCAGCTCCGTCCCCGCGGGAGGATCCGCGCCGCGGGAGCGCGGGGAGAGCTCGGAGCGCTGCCCCAGCTCCGTCCCCGCGGGAGGATCCGCGCCGCGGGAGCGCGGGGAGAGCTCGGAGCGCTGCCCCAGCTCCGTCCCCGCGGGAGGATCCGCGCTGCCGGAGCCCGGCTCGCTGAGCCCGTCCCGCGGATCGCCGCGGCGCGGGGGAAGGACTTGGAGAGATTTCCCTCCCCTCTCCCCGTGCCTCGGCTTGCCGGCGCTCGGGGTCACCCCGGGAGTCTCTTTTGAGTCGGAATTCTCCGGTTCTGGTTCGCAAGGCTGTTTTTTTTTCTATTATCTAATTAATCTAATTATCTAATAATTTTCTATTGTTTTCTTTTCCCTGTTCTGCGGGTGCGTCCAGGGCGCGCCGCCCCCTCGGGGCTGCTGCCTACATTTTGTACATGAGTTACGAGTAATTTATTTATCGTCATTTTCCAACTCCCGCCGCCGATGTTTGACTGATGCTTCTGCTCCGATCCAATCCGAACGTGCCGCCATCACCGGGGAGATGGAGCCTGCGAAGAAGAGGAGGAAGAAGAAGGAAGAAGGACAGGACAACGCCCAGGTCCCTCCGTCTTGCCTCCTGCACCCTTCTAGTAAAGACCCCCAAAATTCAATTTCACAGCCAGTGATTAACTAATCGTCACTCCCAGACTCCAAAAATCCTAGAAAATCAGGATTTAGGCACTTCCAGATCCCCAAAATCCTGAAAAAATGGGGATTTAGGCACTTCCTGAGCCCAAAAATCGGGGAAAAAGAGGATTTTGGAATTCTCAGTTCCCCAGGTTTTGGGTACGGGGGGTCTGGACACTCCCAAGCCCCAAAAATCCTGAAAGAATCGGGATTTGTGAATTTTCAGTTCCCCAAATTTTGGATACAGGGGTGTTTGGGAACACCCAGATTCCCAAAAATCCTGGGAAAAGAGGAATTCGACGGAACCCAACCCCCCAAAATCGCGAAAAATGGGGAAAATACCCCAAAAAAATAAAGTCTGGACCAAGCCCTTCCCCAAAATCCCCAAAATTCCCAAAAAAAAATCTAAAAAATTCCCAAAAAATTGCAATAAAAAAGGCTGACACTCTTTAGCCCCTTCATTCCCGACATTCCCAAAATCCCAGAGAACCCCAAATCCCAGGACCCCCCCAAACCCCACCTTCGACCCCCAGAACCGCGGGCAGGGCCAGGGCCAGCAGCGGCAGCAGCCGGGGGAGGCTCCGCGCTCCGTCCATGGCTCCGGGACACCGGCAAGGGTCGGTGCTGCTCCCAGTAAAGCGGCGCCGAACTGGGGGGACTGGGAGAGGGGGAGAAGCACCCCAAAAAGCGCTCGGCCAATGGGAGAGCGGCGTTGGAGCGGCGTCATGTGTTGCCGGGTAGAGCTGTCAAAAAGAGAGCTCCCTGAGAAATTCTGACCAATCAGAGAGGGGCAGGGTGGTGACTCATTAGTTGCCGGGTAGAGGCTCTGGAAAAGGGGCTCCGAACGCAACCGGCGAATGGGAGCGCGCAAAAAACACCTCGGCCAATGAAAGCACGCCCAAAAAACCGCACAACCAATCAAGGCGCGGCCAAAAACCACGCGCGATCAATCAGGGAGCGCGACCCTAATGACCCCGCGGCGCTCCGGGCTGGTTCTCGCAGTGCGGCGCGGTTGGGTTGGCGATGGCGGTCAGCGGGCCGGCGCTGGCCATGGGGCGGGGGGCGGCAGCGGGGGCCGCGCTGGTGGCACTGCTGCTGCTGGGAGCCCCCCCGGCTGCGGGCGCCGAGCTCTCGGGTGAGCGGGGAGGGGGCGGGAGGCGCTGGCACAGCGGGGGAGAAGGGGGAAAAGGGGGCAAAGGGGGGAGCGCGGCATGGAGGGGGAGGAGGAGGGGACCCCCCGAAGGGAGAGCGGGAGGGGCTGAGGGGTGGGGGAGGTGGGGAAGGGCTGGCAGAGGGTGGGCAAGGGGGGAAAAGCCCCCTCAAAAGTGAGCCCGAGGGGGCTGTGGATTGGAGAATTGTGTTTAAAAGGGTGGGAAAGGGTCAAAAATGGGGGAAATGGGACCCCAAAATTGATTTGGGGAGCGGCCGGAGGTGGGAGGGGAGAGGATGTGGAAGGGGAAACGGGGGAGGGGCGGCAAAGAGGAAGCGGCAGCGCGGGCAGGAGGGTCCCGTGGCGGCCGTGGGGCACAGGGAGTGCGGGGTGGGGACCCGGGGGGACCCGGAGCTCTGGGGGTGCTGGGGGGGCAATCCCTGAGCTGTGTGCTGCACTCACAGGGGTGTTCCAGGAGATGGCAATGCACGAGTGTCACTTCATTAACGGCACGGAGAAGGTGAGGTTCGTGGAGCGGTACATCTACAACCGGCTGCAGGACGTGATGTTCGACAGCGACGTGGGGCTGCACGTGGGGTTCACCCCCGCTGGGGAGAAGTGGGCCAGGGACTGGAACAATGACCCGCAATGGATGGAGTACCAGCGAACTACGGTGGACAGGTACTGCCGG